AATAGAGGGATGCTTTTGGAAGCCCTTGTCAAGAAATTCCAGTGGACTCTCATATGAACATTTGAAAACTGCCTTGTTCTGACTTTTTTCTAGCTCCCTGTCTAGAACTCGTAATGCTAATTACTCTTGCCTTTACTTCTCCCTCATATCTCCTATTCAGGATTCAAGGACCTTCTTTCCCCCCTAGAGATAAGAGTTATGCAATTTGGGAGTCTTTTGGATAGACCTACTGAAGGGGGCACTCCAACTGCCTTACTCTGCGTCCCTGCTCAGAATGAAAGAAGCCAGAGCAGTCTGCGTCCCAATTCCCTACTGGCAACTTGGGTAACCTCTTCAGAGGATGGTGTGATAAGACTAGGAGGTAGGAACTGGCTAGGCAGTTAGGGTAAAAAACTCCAAGAAAAGTAGCCAGTTTCTTGGCTAAAACTCACCATGTCCATGGGCCTCTTAGCAACCTACTCCATTCCAAAGGCCAAAAATGTAGACAATATTTGGGAGCTTTTATCTAATCCTTAAAGTATTTTAGGGTTACCTCTTCAGAATGGGGAATGTTAGAGTAGCCAAAAGCCCCATAAAAAAATAAAATCAAAGAAGAAAGAGTACATGAAGTTATCAGAAAAAAGTGATAGGGAGCTATGGGAGGAGAGTGGACATGGATTTGATCAAAACATCTTATATGCATGTATAAAATTTTCAATAAGTTATTTATTTAAAAAAACAACAACAACAAAAAACTAGTAACAATGGGCGTGGTGGTGGAGCTCTGAGACTGAAGCCAGCCTTGTCTACATAGTAAGTTCCAGGCCAGCTGGGGTTACAGAGATCCTGTCTCAGAAACCAAAACCAAAGAAACCCAAACCAAAAAAAAAAAAAGGTATAGTGGCACATACTTATAATCCCAGAGGCAGATACAAGAACAACCCCAGGGCGTGCTGGCCAGTAAATCTAGCTGAATCTAGCTCCAGGTTCAATCGGAGACCCTGTCTCAAAAAATAAGGTGGCCAGGTGTGGTGGTACACACCTTTAATCCCAGCACTTTGTGGAGGCAAAAGTAGGCAGATTTCTATGAGATTGAGGCCAACCTGTTCCTGGTTATAGCGAGTTGCAGGCCAGGGAAATCCTGTCTCAAAAAAAACAAAACAAGCCACTGACTACAGAACATATCAAGTCCCCACCATACAAGTTAGCAGAGACAATTAGAGATCTACCAGCTATCTGTATTAGGGCAAAAAGATTTTCAATGGACATTAAAAAAAAAGCCAACAGAACTGAAAAAATAATCACAAACCAAAAAATGGGTGAGATGGACAGGGTATTTCCCCAAATGTGTGACCTGAACTAGATTGTTTTTCCAGCGTTATACATTCTGCTGTGACTCCTACCAAATCTCAGGTATTTCTGTGATGTTACTACTGTGGAGAGAAACAAGCATGTTAATGATGAAGTAATTTTAAAACAAGCTGAACTTTTAAAAACTGGGAAGAGGAGCATATAGTACTGTGGCTAATAAACAAATGCTGCCTGCTTGAGATTCTAACGAGACAAGTAAACAAGTTTACCAAGTTAGTAAGGCTGACTTACTACAGATGTGACATCCCTAACACACAAAGGAAATGTCTCAGCAGTTCATTCAAGACAAGAGTGAAGAAGAGGTACACCTGTAAGGACAAAACAGACCTTGTGACACAGGCTAGGTGTCATGAGGGGCCATGGCCATCTGTTTTAAAAGTCAATGTTCTTGACAGAGGTTTAATTAACCGCATCTTTGTATTGAGAAAATTCCAACACAAAACACTGTTTTGTATTAGCATGGTGACACTTGGTGACCCCTGCTGGTAGAAGTATATGAAACTTGAACATCTATTTGTGTGCATATGTATGTGTACCACAGCACAGAAGTGGAGACTAGAAACAACTTGCAGGCGTCAATTCTCTTTCTATTGTGTCAGTTTTGAGACTCAAACTCAGATCATTAGGCCTGGCAGCAAGTATCCTTACCTGCCAAGTCATCTACAACTTTGTTATACTTTTTGTCTTTCTTTTTAATCAGGATCTCCCTGTAGCCCCAGCTAGCCTGGCTATGTAGACCAGGCTGGCCTCAATCTTACAGAGATCCAGCTACCTCTGCTTGAGTGTTGGGATTAATGGTGGGCATCACCATGCCCAGTAGTCATCTACAGCTTTTAAGCAACAAAAAAGTTATCTAAATTACAGCCATTCTGTCTAGTAAAATATAAGCCACTAAGTCCGTATTATTATTTAAAACATTCAATGTGACATATGCTCTAAGTATAAAATAACCAAGATCTCAAAAACTTGATATAAAAAGGCATAAAAAAATTCTTACAAATAACCTTTTATATTGACTACATGTTGAAATAATATTTTGGAAAAACTAGGTTATTAACTACTTCACGGTTTTATTTTACCCCTCTTTGTGGCTATCAGAATACGTAAAATTAAACAGGAGCCTTACATTTATGGACTGAATTATGTCGATAAATTCTGAACAGTGGTTTATACACATAAATCACTGAAACATTACACCAGGACTAGGA